CTCACACTTGCTGTCTGTCGTGGGGATGGAGGAGTCAGGACAGAAGGGGTGGGAGTGTGTAGGGATAACCTTTCAAAAGGAACTCTGGTGTTGGAGATATGAACAGGACTCAACACACTGGTAATTAATACAAAGCTGGTGTATTTGAATTTTAAACAGAAGACTGACACCTATGACTGGGTGGAAATTTATCAACATCAGTTGAAGCAGACTCCAATGTACAGAGCTTATCACTGACAATAAAGTTCCCATCAGTGCAGTTGCTAGTGAACTTACTGGTGTCTCAACAGATGGGATGCCTCTGAATTTCTTTCCACACTCAGAGCAGGAGAATGGCCTCTCCCCAGTGTGACACCATCTGTGTCTCAGGAGGTGGGATGAACAAATGAATCCCTTTCCACACTGGGAGCAGGTGAATGGTCTCTCCCCAGAGTGAGGGTGCTGGTATCTAAGAAGGGTATATCACAGATTGAATCTCTTCCCACACTCGGAGCAGGTGAATGGCCTCTCCTCAATGTGGACTCACTGGTGTGACAACAGGTTGGATACGTGACTGAATTGCTTCCCACAATCAGAGCAGCCGAATAGCATCTCCCCAGTGTGAATGTGGTGGTGCCCCATGAATAAATACATAGAAATTGAAATCAGTTTCACAAGGTGTAAGGAAAAGGAGCATTTACAGTTGGGGAAGCTCAAACCAAACACCACATCAGGATCTGATGAATTCGCCCAAATTATCATAACTAGAATAACTTTGGATTTTGAACATGTAAGGAGAAAGCACCCTGCAGAGCAGAGAGGAGCTGTACACATGTTCTGCATGTAGAAAAGGCTTCAGCCCATCATCTGACCTGTCAGAGCATATATGTAGTCTCAACGTGAAGAAGCTTTGGCAATGTGGAAATGTGTCGACTGTGGGAAGAGATTCAATGTTCCAGCTAGGTTGGAAATTCATTGGTGCATTCACATTGGGGAGAAGCCATTCACCTGCTCTGAATGTGGGAAAGGATTTACGGTGTCCTTCAGGTATTCAGGTTCTGATGAATCTTGTAACCCTGTCAGATCCTGACTTGATGTTTCATTTGAGATTCCCATCTACCCATCAATGCCCTCCAAAATGAGATCTCATTTTATACCTTGGAAAAGGATTTCTCAACATCAGTCTCACTATCAGTCAAGGATACATATTAAAAACACACCATTCTAGTTTTCACAGAAAATTCTTCCCCATCTCAATTCCCCAAATATTGTTCAAGCAAATTCAAAGAAAACAAAATCTGCACCAAATGCCCAAGAAAAGTAACAGGAACTTTTCCAACTAATCCAGAAAGTTATCCCCAGAGTCTATGCTTCTGCAGTGCTCAATGGTTATGAAGGAATTAATCATACTCGTGGACATGGCATGCTCCCTCTCCCAAGCTACTTGGGCACAGACAAGACCACAGAAAAGACGATAGTTACAAGAGTGAGTGCCAATTTCTTGGTGCTCATCTATTCTAAATTAACACATTGCAACTCCAAGAGAAGTTCCTCTGACTTGCCCAGCCCCCTCCCCATTGGGCAGTCAAACATCACAGACGTGGTCCATGGCCCCACCACCTCTAGAGCATCTGATATGATAAATCAATGCTGTTCCAAGTGGCAATGCCTACTTGCCATGAATAAATATATCGAGAAATTTAAGGCCCTCTGTTCAGCAACGCCTCAATTTTAAAATTCCCATCCTTGTTTTCAAATTTCTCCATGGTCTTCCATCTCTATTTACACATTTTCCATGTCTTACCCACAGACAGAACAGACAAACCTCAATCCTTCCACAATCAGGGGCTGATCATATTCACCTTCTGAATCTGTTTTAGCACTTGTTCCCGTTCTTCTTTCTCAAGAAAATTCACAAACCCTGTGCTCTCACATAACCTAGAGGAAAATGAGGTTTTTGAAACTGTTCTCCCCTTCCTCTATGGGGTTTTGGAGGGGTGCTGTGCGGAGCAGTCGCAGGGCGGCTGCCGCCAATGGTCGGGCTCGATCTGTCTCTTTTTGCAACAGCAGCCGTCGGGGAAAAGGGGCGGAGCAGCTCCCCGAGCGGCTTCTCGCTCTGGCCCGAGTCAGCAACCGGTTGCCCTGGAAACCTTGGCTCCTGGCGGCGGTGGGGTAACAATGGGTGGGGGCGGGGCTCCTGCTTCTGCGCGGCTGGCCTGCAGCCTGGAACCCGAGGACGTCACCGCCGAGGACAGCGATTCCTATTGGCTGTTTCAGGGAAGCTCCATCCCCATTGTGACGTCACAATGACAACGTCGTCCAGCGAGACGAAAGCGTGAGACTCCATCCTCCGTGCAACATCAGGGAGCAAAGCAATGTCTCCCCTTTTTCATTTCTTTTCTCATCCTGGGATGGAGGGGGAATACTGTTCACTTGCAGCAAAGGAAGGGAGAGAAAGTGAATCCAGAGAAGGAGCATACACTGGAAAATCTTGGTTCAGGTATGTCTCTTAAGTATATTGTCATTGTTTGCTCTCAGCTTCATATATTTATTCGCCTGGCGAAAAGGGTGGCCTCTTTCTTCATGTTTTATTGCAGGATTTTTTTTTCAGAGATGGTCAGGATTTAAGGGGCAGTGAACTATTTAGCAATTGCGGCCAAAATTCTATGTTGTTTCGTAATTCGCAACACCATATATTAGAAGCTGTCTTTTGAGGTCTGACTGTGGGGCGAGCAACATTTGGCGAAATTGTCTTTCAGCCAAAAATTCCCGTTGACAATCCAGAACTGTGTCATGGAGTATGCTGATGGGAAAAATAAATAGCCTTCCTTTCCTGGCTGGTCTACAAACTACCAACCTTTTGGTTAACAGCTGAATGCAATGATCAGTTATCCTGTCCAGATATGTCACTTCTCACTGATCCAGATTGAATTCCATTTATCACTAATCAGCCCATCCGACCAGCCAGTCTATATCCTCCTGTAAGCTAAGGCTATCCTCCTCACTATTTACCAGCCATCACTTTTGCATCATCTGCAAACTAACTGATCAACCCTTCTACATTCAAGTCTAATTAATTTACATAAGCCATAAACAGCAAGGGCCCAACACTGACCACTGTGGGACTCCACTGGACATAGGCTTCCAGTCAGAAAAAGAATCACTCAACAATCACCCTCTGCTTCCTGCCACTCAGCCGATTGTGGATTCAGTTTGCCAAATTTCAACTGATTCTTAGCTTTGTTATCAGTCTCCCATGTGGGACCTTATCAAAAGCCTTGCTGATATCCAAAGAGACAACATCAAAAGTATTGCACTCATTGATGCACCTGGACACCTCATCAAAAAATTGAATCTAGTTGGTCAGATGTGAAATCCCCTTTGATTAATCCCTGGCTCTCCAAATACAAATTAATTCTGACCTTCAGAATTACTTCCAATAGTCTCCCCAGCCTCAAGGTGAGACTGACTGGCTTGCAGTTTCTTGGTTTATCTCTTGTTCCCTTCTTGAATAGAAGTTCCACTTTGACTGTCCTTCATCCTCCAGCACCTTTCCTGTGGTCAGAGGGGAATTGAAAATTTTTGCATGCCATTCATCCCAAGAACTTATTGTCCCAGCAACGTAGGATACATTTCACCTGATGCTGGAGATTAATCTACATTTGAGCCTGCCAAACTACTCAAAACCTCCCCTCTCTCTCTATGCTAATTTCTTTAAATTCCATCACAGACCTCCTCCCTTATTCATCTCTGTCACTAGTGAACACTGACATTAAGTCTTCATTTACAACCTAGCCTACATCCTATCAGTCCACACACAAATTACTGCTGTGGTCCTCAACTGTCCTTATTCTTTCGCCTGTGATCCTTTAACCATTAATGTACCTGTAAAACAACTCAGAATTTTCCATTATTTTGCCTGGCTGTATCAATTCTTGTTCACCTTTTAGCTCTCAATGTCTCCTCATTTATATTCCCTCTTGCATATTTATGATAACTGTCTGCAAAATGCTCCCCCATGATACTTCAACCACTTGTCCCCCTTTGTCACCCAAAGTTAAGCCCAAGACCTCCCCCTTCCTTGTTGGGACTTCTACATACTGGCTTCAAACGCTCTACTGGATCTATTTTAAAAGTTCCTCTAAACATTGCACACTATGATGACCACAGTTAATGTTGGAGAAGTTGAAATTCCCTGCTATCATGCCCCTATTACTTCTACACTGCCCTGAAATTTGTCTCCTTACTTGCTTTTTTAGTTCCATACAGACAGGTTTGTTTATGGAGTTTTCTAAGATGTCATCTCTCCTTATTGCTACAATAAATTTCCTGAACATAATTGTGACACCTCCCCTTCTTTTGCCTCCTGTCTCACATGAATATCATGCATCCTGGAGTATTCAGCTTCCAATTCTGCCTCTCTCTCAACCATGTCTCATTGACAGCAATGTCATCATACCCCATTTTAATCTGTTTCCTCAACTCATCTGCCTTGTTTGTCAAATTGTTGCATTAAAAATCAATGCCATTCAACCATGTTAAACTCTCTTGGAGCTGAACTGGCCTGTAATGTCGATGCCTTCCTGATTCCTGCCACAGCAATGAATATCTGGGATTAACAATCTAGTGATGACTATGAATCCATTGTTGATTGTCAGTAAAAACCTATCTGGTTCACTAATGTCTTCAGGGAAGAAAACTGCCATCCTTACCTGGTCTGGCCTACATATGACTCCAGACCCACACCAATGAGCCTGACTCTTAACTGCCCTCTGGGCAATGAGGGATGGGCAATAAATGCTGGCCTACCCAACAATGCTCTCATCCTGTGAATGAATAGAAAAAAAACTTGTTGATTCTTTTCTTTTTTTTCTTACCCTTTTGGACATTGTCCCTGGATCCCAGCATTACAGGCTATATCTCACGCTGGATGTGCCTTCACGCAACTGCTCCTGTGAAGGGTACTGATTATTTTATCTTTAAGGCATTCAAAATGAGACAAAGACTTAATGCAACATCACTTTTTGTAAAAATTGATTTGTATTATTTTTATCCCATACAGGTAACTGAACCTGTGCTGTTTACAAACATCAGAGAAAGGCCCAGAAAAAAACTGTTTGGATATAGATAACTTTAGAATTAAAATCCAACGGTGACAGTTACTAAGAAACTCATTGTTGTTTAACCAATCCTGAGGAACCACAAAATCACTTTACAAACAATATGCAGATCTTTACCTAGTGTAAATGTGTTTATGTACAGCACCATTGTGATCATTTCTAAAACCTAGAGATAAAACATTGATACAGTTGTGTATCTACAATATCAACACCTTTAATACAGCAGGGTTTAATAACATCAAAATAACTGTCCAATGATCAAGGTTCATTCCTTGGTGTGAGTAATAGTAAAATCCTTCACATTAGGCTCTTTGTGAATTTGCTGGTGTGCTAAGCAAACAGCAAAGCCTTTTACACAAACACAGCAGGCGAATGGGATCCACCTGGTGTCATTTCACTGGTGTCTTAACAGTTTGGATGACAGAGTGAATCCCTTCCCATGTACGGAACAATGAACAGTCTCTCTTTAGAGTGAACAGGCTGCTGTATCAGCAGGTGAGTTGACTGAATGAATGTTTCTCCCCAGCGTGAACTCGCTGATGTCTCCGCAGGTTGGATGATTGGGTAAATCCCTTTCCACAATTGGAGCAGGTGAAGGGTCTCTCTCTCCTGTGAATTCGTTGATGTATGAGCAGGATCGTTGACTGAGCGAATGCTTTCCCACAATCAGAGCAGATGAATGGTTTCTCTCCAGTGTGAACTCGCTGGTGTCTCAGCAGGTTGGATGATTGGGTAAATCCCTTCCCACAAGCGGTGCAGGTGAATGATTTCTCTCTGGTATGAACTTGCTGATGTTCCAGCAGTTTAGATGAGCGAATGAATCCTTTTCCACATTCAGAGCAAGTGAATGGTCTCTCCCCAGTGTGAACTCGCTGGTGTTCCAGGAGATTAGATGAGCGAATGAATCCTTTTCCACATTCAGAACAGGTGAATGGTCTCTCCCCTGTGTGAATTCGCTGGTGCTCCAGCAGTTTAGATGAGTGAGTGAATCCTTTCCCACATTCAGAACAGGTGAATGGTCTCTCCCCAGTATGAACGCCCTGGTGTTCCAGTAGTTTAGATGAGTGAATGAATGCTTTTCCACATTCAGAACAGGTGAATGCTCTCTCTCCTGTGTGAACTCCTTGGTGTTTCAGCAGGCTGGATGACGAAGTGAATCCCTTCCCACAGTCAGAGCAAGTGAATGGTTTCTCCCCAGTATGAACTCGCTGGTGTATCCGAAGGCTGGATGACTGAGTGAATCCCTTCCCACACTGGGAGCAGGTAAACGGTTTCTCCCCAGTGTGAACTCGTTGGTGTATCAGCAGGTTGGATGACTGAGCAAATGCCTTCCCACAATTGGGGCAGGTGAATGGCCTCTCCCCAGTGTGAACTCGCTGGTGTATCTGCAGACTGGATGACCGAGTGAATTTTTTCCCACAAGCAGAGCAGGTGAATGGTCTCTCCGCACTGTGAACTCCCTGGTGTTCCAGCAGTTTAGATGAGTGAGTGAATCTTTTCCCACAATCAGAGCAGGTGAATGGTCTCTCTCCAGTGTGAACTTGCTGGTGTTGCAGTAGTTTAGATGAGTGAGTGAATCCTTTCCCACATTCAGAACAGGTGAATGGTCTCTCCCCAGTGTGAGCTCCCTGGTGTTCCAACAGTTTAGATGAGTGAGTGAATCCTTTCCCACATTCAGAACAGGTGAATGGTTTCTCTCTCCTGTGAATTCGCTGGTGTATCAGCAGGTTGGATGACTGAGCGAATGCTTTCCCACAAACGGAGCAGGTGAATGGTCTCTCTCCAGTGTGAACCCGCTGGTGTTCCAGCAGTTTAGATGAGTGAGTGAATCCTTTTCCACATTCGGAACAGGTCAATGGTCTCTCCCCAGTGTGAACCCACTGGTGGATCCGCAGGTTGGCTGACTGACTGAATCCCATCCCACAATCAGAGCAAGTGAATGGCTTCTCGCCAGTGTGACTGCGTTGATGATTTTCCAGCTGGGATTGGTAAAGAAATCCCTTCCCGCAATTCCCACATTTCCACAGGCTCTCCCCAGTGTGACTGTGCTGGCGTTTGGACATTTCAGATGAATCTTCATTGACTCTTCCACACACAGATGATATGTGTTTCTCCCCGGTGTGAATGGTGCTTTCTCCTTCAGTGTTCAAAATCCTGAGAAAGTTAGGTTATGATAAACAGAGTGACTGTTGGATCTGGATGTGGCTTCACTTGAAGTCTCTAATTACAAATCAACCTTTCAAACAGAAAACAACCGTATTGGGAAAACCAGAAGAACACACAGGTTGTGAACCTGAGAGCAATTAATCTGTTCAGTTGTGGAGATGACACTGAGGGAAACTGGGATTATCATTAAAACTGAACTGGTTCATAAATCTCCTTCTGGGAAAGGAACCAGTCTGTGTTGGCACAAAAACTTCAGAAAGAGATAGAGGTGGGAGAGGTACACACGAAGGACTTGCATTTTATAGATTTACAACTCAATCCTGTTCCTGTTTTCTCCCCATACACTACAACCCCTCTCAAGGATGAAGAACTAGTGCATAGTTCTTTGAAAGTGGAGTTGCAGGTAGACAGATTGAAGAAGGTATTTGGTACGTTTCCCTCTACTGGTCAATTCATTGAGTATCAGAGGTGGGAGCTCATGTCATGGCTCGATGGGATATTGGTGAAGCCAATTTTAGAGTACTGCACTCAATTCTGTCTCCCAGCTGTAGGAAAGATGTTATCAGGCCAGGACTTACACACTTAATAGTAAGGTTCTGGGGAGTGTTGCCAAACAAAAAGACTTTAGAGTGCAGGTTTATAGTTCCTTTACAGTGGAGTCTCAGGTAGATAGGATAGTGAAGAAGGCCTTATTTTTCAGTGAATTAATTATAGGAGTTGTTGTGGCTGTACAAGACATTGGTTAGGCCATTTTTGGAATACTGCATTCAATTCTGGTCTCCCTGCTGTAGGAAAAATGTTAAACTTGAAAGGGTTAGAAACAAGGATGTTGGCAGGGTTGGAGGTTTGAACTATAGGGAAAGGCTGAATAGGCTGAGCCTATTTTCCCTGGAGGCTGAGGGGTGACCTTCTATAAGTTTATAAAAACATGAGGGGCATGGTTAGGGTGAATAGTCATGGTCTTTTTCCCAGGCTAGTGGAGTCCAACACTGGAGGGCCTAGGTTTGAGATGAAAGGGGCAAGATTCAAAAGGAATCTTAGGGACAACCTATTCATGCAGAGGGTGCTGCATCTATGGAATGAGCTGCCAGAGGAAGCGGTGGAGGCTGGTACAGTTACAACATTTAAAAGGCATCTGGATGGATACATGAGTAGGAAAGCTTTAGAGGGATATGGGCCAAATGCTGGCCAAGGTGACCATATCAGTTCAGGATATCTGGTCGACATGGATAAGTTGGACCGAAGGGTCTGTTTCTGTGCTGTATAACTTATTACTTTAAGTGCAAAAGCAAAATGGTGGAAATCTGAAATAAAAATAGAAAATGCTGGAGACATTCAGCAGGTCTCGTAGCATCAGAAATGGTGACAGATGCAGGAATTCTTCCAACTTTGAAGAAGTGTTTAGAAGATCATAAAAGGCACTACAATATAGGTTACACACGAGTGCCAGAAAATGGGATGGGAGTAAATAGGTGCTTGATGACCAACATGGATACGACGGGGGACATTGTGTTAAACAATTTTATATCCGAGACTGTGACCTCAGTTTGTTCCATGTTTCTCTGTGACTCCCTCTCTTATGAAGCAAGCAGGAATTGCAAGCAGTGAAGAATGCAAATGATAGTGAGAGGATTTGAGTACAGGAGCTGGGATATGTTTCTCTAAGGGCTTTGGTGAGACCACACCTGGAGGAATGTGTGCAAATTTGTTCCCGTTTCCCAAGGAAGGATGCCCTGGCCATTGAGAGAGTTTAAACAAGGCTCATCAGACTGATTCTTGCGATGTCAGGACTGATGTATGAAGACAGAATCTATCCTCATTTAATCCTCCATTTTTTTGTCTTTGAGCTGCTGTTTGGATCACTAACTATTATTCTGCGTCCCATGTCCTGATCTAGATCTGATCCATATAAGCCTACACTTTGGTTCCAATTCCCCTGCTATACTAGTTTAAAACCTCACCGAAGGAACTAACAAAAGGCCCCAGAGGAGATTTGTCCCAGCTATGCTCAGGGACAACTGGTCAAGCTTGTGAAAGTCCAACTTTACGCACAAACGGTCTCAATGTCTCAGGAATCTAAACCTTTCTCTGATACACCATTTCTCCAGCTCCACATTCAGCTGATCTATCCTCTTATTCCTGCTCTCGCTAGCACATGGTACTGGGAGTAAGGATGACTTTATTACCTTTGAGGTCCTGCATTTTAACACATCTCCTATCTTCCTATATTCAGCTTTCAGGTACTCATATCTTTGTTTAGCTATATCATTGGTACCTATGACAACTGGCTGTTCAGTCTCCAGCTCCAGAATATCCTGTAGCTGCTACATGCTATCTCGGACCCTGGCACCAGGCTGGTCACATTCCATCCTGGATTCATGTCGGTAGCCACAGAAGTGCCTGCCTGTACCTCTGACTATTGAATCCCATATCACTATAGCCCTTTTTCCTCCCCTTCTGAGCAGCAGAGCCAACTGTGGCACCATGAACTTAGCTGTTGCTAATTTCCCCTGAGAGGCCATCCCAACCACATCCAAAGTAGTACATCTGTTTGAGAGGGGGATGACCGCTGGGGACTCTGGCCCTTATTTCAAGGGTCTTTTATGTCATCTGATGGTCACCCATTCCCTTTCTGCCTGTGTAATTCTCAGCTGCGGTATGACCACCTCGCTAAGTGTGCTGACAACAATATTCTAAGCATCACAGATGCTCTACAGTAAGTCCATCCACACCTCCAGCTCCAAAAACATTAGCCAGTAGCTGCAGATGGGCACACTTCCTGCATACGTAGCCATCAGGGACACTGGAAGGTTCCTTATTTCCTACATTGTACAAGAGGAGCACACCACAGGTCTGAGGTCTCCTATCACGACTTCTCTGTATACTAAGCTAGTTACTCTCTTAAAGAAATTTTATTGAGCTAAGGATCTTCCTTCATTTCAAACAATTCTATTATAATTGAAATTCCCTATCTATACTTCAACTGAACATTATATTTTAAAAATTGGAAGAAAATACACTGCGGGTAACACTTTCCAATTGGCTCTTTCCATTGGGACCATGTCACTTTCTGAACTGCCCGAATAGAGACTAAGCACAACACTCAGACTTCCAGCTTCATCTTCTCCCTGTCTCGCCTCACTCTCTGCTTTCACCGAACTCCAAAGCGCTCTCATTGTGCCAAGCAGCACTCACAGCACAGCCTTGTCATTTTATTTGTCTGCTCACACCTACACTGTCTTCAGCATCGTTTACTATTCCAATGCAACTCAATGGGAGCACAGAGTAAAGCATCTCATCTTTCAATTTAGCACTTTACAATGCTTCAGGCTCAAGGATCTGGAATGATCCATCTGAAGGGGTACTAAGGAATTTAAAGGGAAGTTTGCAGGTATTTGAGAATGAGGAAATTATAGGTTAAAATCATGAAGTAGGTGATTGGGATGAAATATGACTGTTCTCTTCAAGAGTTGAGGTCTTATTCAGATAAATCTGTGACCCTCTTAGGCCAATATCTCCTTCCTCAGCTGCAGGGCCCAGAACTGAACACATACTCCAGGGTGATCTAAGCACGAATTGGAATATTCTGCTGTTTTTCGAGTTACACACATATCATAATTATTTTCCCGCAGACAAAACAGACAAACCTTTCTCCTTCCACAGTGAAATGCCAATGATATCCAGACCCTGATCATTCCGCTGACTGTCAGAACTTGTTTTAAGATCCTGGTCTGCAAATCATTCTCAATCAATATCCTGTAAAACGAGTTCACGAAAGAAAAGTCACTGATAGTCCATGACAAAAATCAGAAAAGACAAACATCCTCTTCATTTCGCCCC